ATTTTACCCACTGTATCTATTATAAACAGACCTACCAGGTATCTATTATAAACGGACCTACCAGGTATCTATTATAAATGGACCTACCAGGTATCTATTATAAACAGACCTACCAGGTATCTATTATAAATGGACCTACCAGGTATCTGTTGTAAACTGAGTGTTTCAGTCATTGTTCTAATGAAGATCCTGTCTCTGTCCAGGCACTTGTATAAATGTGTTGTCCTACCTGGGCAGTGGATCAGTATTACCAGGTGAGTGTTGTCATTTTTAATAATGCCTAGATCCCCATAATGCAGGACTTATTTCAACCTTTGATGACCTCTAAACCCTGAATGATTGGTTCCATTTAAAAACCTGAACTGTCATGGAATTGGTTCATTGAGTCTTTTAAGTGAAAAGATTTTTAAAAAGTCATATAATACCTTTTTTAATCAAAGTACCCACTCTGTCTCTGTCTCTGTCCCCACAGCTCACCTGTGAGGAAGCGTTGTAACCATGGTGTACGCTCAGTCAACAACCAGAGTGGCTGTAAATCCTTCTCTGTACTCTCCAGCTTTCATGTATCAGATGTCCTTTAACTTCACCAGAAGAGAGAACTCATCTGTCCTCGCCTCCTCTCCACCGACAACGCTCTTCAGCCTCGAGGCCTCGCCCTCCAGCTGGTCCAACGCCACCTCCGCCTCCGTTGAGCTGACGGCGGGCGAGGTGGCCGTCCTGGGCCTGGTCTTTGGAGTTCTGTGGCTGGTCTCCATCCTGGGAAACGCTCTGGTCTGCCTGGTCATCCACAGGAGCCGAAGGACTCAGTCCACCACCAACTACTTTGTGGTGTCCATGGCCTGTGCAGACCTGCTCCTGAGCCTGGGCTGCGCTCCTTTTGTCCTCCTGCAGGTGGCTGAAGGTCAGTGGCCTCTGAGCACCGCTGCCTGTAAGTTGGTGCGCTACCTGCAGCACCTGTGCCCAGGTGTTCAGGTCTATGTCCTGCTGTCCATCTCTGTGGACCGTTTCTACACCATCGTCTACCCCCTCAGCTTCAAAGTGTCCAGGGAAAAAGCAAAGAAGATGATCCTGGCCTCGTGGCTGTTTGATGCRGTCTTCATCTCTCCCTGCTTCTTCTTCTATGGTTCCACAGACAGGCACTGTGACTTCTTCCTCCCGGGCAGCTGGGGCAGTATAGCCTACGCTGCGGTTCACCTCCTGGTTGGTTTCCTGGTCCCTGTGGGACTGATCGTGTCCTTCTACCAGCGGGTAGTTCGGTACATCTGGAGGATCAGCGCTGACGGCTACACGGTGCGACGAACCATGAACATCGTCCCAMGGACTAAAGTCAAGACCATCAAGATGTTCCTCATGCTCAACTCAGTTTTCTTCCTCACTTGGACGCCCTTCTACGTCGCCCAGCTCTGGCACCCGAAGGAGTCCGCTGCCCCCACCAGGCAGGAGCTGCTGTTCTTCACAGCCATCGCCTGGATCTGCTTCAGCTCCACAGCATCCAAACCAACGCTGTACTCCGTCTACAACGCAAACTTCAGGCGTGGCATGCGAGAGACCTTCTGCATGTCCTCCATGAAGTGCTACCGCAGCAATGCCTACACCATCACCGCCAGCTCCCGGATGGCCAAGAAGAACTACGTTGGTGCGATGGACCTCCAAGTCCAGGCTAAGACCATCACCAAGGACTCTGTGTACGATGCGTTTGACCGAGAGGCCAAAGAAAAGAAGGTAGCTTGGCCCACCAACACCAACCCTCCCAACACCTTCGTGTGAACCACTTCCTGTTTGACAGTTAGCTGGAGGACTAGCCGGAGGCTAACATGCTAACTCTGCCTGAAAGTCACAGAATGTTTATGATGTAAAAAGGGCTTTATTTTCTGACGTAACGATGGTTCAGTTTTCTAGTTAATTTATTCAGAAAYACTTTGTGTTGTTTTGATGAGTGTGTTTTGATGTTGGTTTGTTAGCAGCTAATGTTGTTGTTGTTGCTTCTGTAATCTCTGCTAGCAGCTAACGTTAGTAAAGCTTCATATTTCTGCTTCAAGCCTTGCTTCTTTACAGTTACGGTAAATTTTTGTTGCTGGAATCCAAACGTTCCCCTCGTCTCTGAAACAAAACACCCAGAACGGGTCGTTTCTTCTTCTGAAAAACAGCGCCCTCTTGTGGCCATGCCCGACCAGTGGACAAGATGGAGGAGCGTCCTCCATCCTCAGAAGTGAGTCTGAATAATGTTCTCCGGGTTTGTTTTCTTCAGCTGCTTTGGACTGAATGAACCGCTAGCATGCTAACAGGTGATGCTAGCATCAGCTGTTAGCATCAGCAGTTGCTAACAAATGCTAACAGCTATGGCCCTACAGAACTTGGATCTGACAGAATGCATAGTTTTATATATTTCAGATGTTCTGATGGTTCAGGTGAGTCCAGCACCTCCTGGTCCTGTAGAGGCAGAGGGGGGCTCACCAGACCCAACAAACCTGACCGAACAAAACCAGACTCAACAAACCAGACCCAACAAACCTGACCCAACAAAACCAGACTCAACAAACCTGACCCAACAAAACCAGACTCAACAAACCTGACCCAACAAAACCAGACTCAACAAACCTGACCCAACAAAACCTGACCCATCATACCTGACCCAACAAAACCAGACTCAACAAACCAGACCCAACAAACCAGACCCAACAAAACCAGACTCAACAAACCAGACCCAACAAAACCTGACCCATCAAACCTGACCCAACAAAACCAGACTCAACAAACCAGACCCAACAAAACCAGACTCAACAAACCAGACCCAACAAAACCAGACTCAACAAAGCTGACCCAACAAAACCAGACTCAACAAACCAGACCCAATAAACCTGACCCAACAAAACCAGACCCAACAAACCAGACCTAAAAACCTGACCCAACAAACCAGACCCAACAAACCTGACCCAACAGACTTGACTCAACAAACCTGACCCAATAAACCAGACCCAACAAATCAGACCCAACAAAACCAGACTCAACAAACCAGACCCAACAAACCAGACCTAAAAACCTGACCCAACAAACCTGACCCAACAAAACCAGACTCAACAAACCAGACCCAACAAAACCAGACTCAACAAACCAGACCCACCAAACCAGACCCACCAAAACCAGACTCAACAAAACCAGACTCAACAAACCTGACCCAACAAAACCAGACCTAAAAACCTGACCCAACAAACCAGACCTAAAAACCTGACCCAACAAACCAGACCCAACAAACCTGACCCAACAGACTTGACTCAACAAACCTGACCCAATAAACCAGACCCAACAAATCAGACCCAACAAACCAGACCCAACAAAACCAGACTCAACAAACCAGACCCACCAAACCAGACCCACCAAAACCAGACTCAACAAAACCAGACTCAAAAAACCTAACCCAACAAAACCAGACCTAAAAACCTGACCGAACAAACCAGACCTACAAACCTGACCCAACAAACCTGACCCAACAGACTTGACTCAACAAACCTGACCCAACAAACCAGACCCAACAAACCTGACCCAACAAACCAGACTCAACAAACCCGACCCAACAAACCAGACCCAACAAACCTGACCCAACAGACCTGACCCAACAAACCAGACCCAACAAACCTGACCCAACAAACCAGACTCAACAAACCCGACCCAACAAACCAGACCCAACAAACCTGACCCAACAAACCTGACCCAACAAACCAGACCCAACAAAACCAGACTCAACAAACCAGACTCAACAAACCAGACTCAACAAAMCTGACCCAACAAAACCAGACTCRACAAACCTGACCCAACAAACCAGACTCAACAAACTTGACCCAACAAACCAGACCCAACAAACCTGACCCAACAGACTTGACTCAACAAACCTGACCCAACAAACCAGACCTAAAAACCTGACCCAACAAAACTGACCCAACAAAACCAGACTCAACAAACCAGACTCAACAAACTTGATCCAACAAAACCTGACCCAACAAACCAGACTCAACAAACCAGACCCAACAAAACCAGACCCAACAAACCAGACTCAACAAACCAGACCCAACAAAACCAGACCCAACAAACCAGACTCAACAAACCAGACCCACCAAAACCAGACTCAACAAACCAGACCCAACAAAACCAGACCCAACAAACCAGACTCAACAAACCAGACCCAACAAAACCAGACCTAAAAACCTGACCGAATAAACCAGACCTAAAAACCTGACCCAACAAACCTGACCCAACAAACCAGACCCAACAAACCTGACACAACAAACTTGACCCAACAAACCTGACCCAACAAACCAGACTCAACAGACTTGACTCAACAACCCTAACCCAACAAACCAGACCCAACAAACCAGACCCAACAAACCAGATCCAACAAACCTGACACAACAAACCAGACCCAACAAAACCAGAACCAACAAACCAGACTCAGTTGAGCCTGAACATCCAGAACTTTGGGTCTTGATGGATCCATGTGAGCACTCAGCTTTATGTTTGTTCTTTCTGAACATTTTAAACATTTGAACTGTTTCTGCACCAAATCTGAAACCAGATGAGACTTTCATGAGAAAACTTTTATTATCTTTGAGAAAAACAAACAAAATAAAACTACAAACATTCACAAAGTGCTTCGACCAATCAGAAGAGAAGACTGACAGGAAGTGAAATCAGGAGACGGTTAGGACGAAGGACGGATGGATCATAAATACTAAACTGCTGATTATAATATGTCTTGTTTAACATAAACATGAGAAGATTTCAAAATAAAAGCCAGGAGTCATGTGACCTGTAAACAATCAGATACACAACAGACTGATGGATCCAGGAAGACAAAACAGGAAGTGACTCCAACATGATGTTTACACGCTTGTTTACAGATCAGAGACGTCCACCATGAAATGATGAAGGACTTCCTGTGAGGAAGACCAGCCTAAATCTGAGAGTTCTTGTTCTTGGAGGTCTTGGTCCCGCCCCCCCCACTCGCAGGGATCTTCTGCTCGTCTGCGGTCAGCAGAGCTTTGATCTCTGACGGGATCTTCCCCTGGTCCATGGCCGAGCACCACTGTCTGTACTGCAGGACACAGTGAGACAGTGAGACACAGTGAGACACAGTGAGACACAGTGAGACAGTTACTACAGGACACAGTGAGACACACTGAGACACAGTGAGACACAGTGAGACAGTGAGACAGTTACTGCAGGACACACTGAGACACAGTGGGACACAGTGAGACAGTTACTGCAGGACACACTGAGACACAGTGAGACAGTTACTACAGGACACAGTGAGACACACTGAGACACAGTGGGACACAGTGAGACACAGTGGGACACACTGAGACACAGTGAGACAGTTACTACAGGACACAGTGAGACACAGTGAGACACTGAGACACAGTGGGACACAGTGAGACACACTGAGACACAGTGGGACACACTGAGACACAGTGAGACACAGTGAGACAGTTACTGCAGGACACACTGAGACACAGTGGGACACAGTGAGACACACTGAGACACAGTGGGACACAGTGAGACACACTGAGACACAGTGGGACACAGTGAGACA